AAGGGAAACAATCTGTCCTGAAGAGTCGTCGCCAAAAAATGGCCGGAAGGTGGCCCACGCAACTTTGGAACTTCGCCGGAAAATTTTCTTTGGACAGCTACAGTACTGCCGGAGATTTTCACTGGGATTTGGTCGTCGGACAGTGACTACTCTTGTGGTAGTGTTGGATTTTGTGCACAACACTGACCGAGACAAAGCAGACGCAAAACAACTTTGAAAGTCGCCGGAAAAAAAGGGTTCCGGTGACTGATTTTACTTCCCGGAATCGCTGGAATGCACAGCGATAAATCTCTCACGATAACTCTGATACCATGTGAGAAGGCACGGGAGAAAATATGATATATTGATATTGTCTGTGATGCAATACAAGAGGTGCTATTTATAGCTACTCTATACAAAGGGGATACTACTCCTATTCCAATGTGGGACAATTACATAGCTATCTCTAACAGGGGATAATGTGGAAAAAGATAAACCAGAGGTATCCTGAAGGAAGTGCTTACTCCATGCTTAAGATCAGGACTAATTGTAGAGGATTGGATCTCCTTTGTTGAGAACTATATTTTGGTGTAGATTCTCTTTTTTTGGTATATGGCTTGTATACGGGGTTAGTCCCCAATTGTTAATAAAATTATTTACCTTATCAAAAAAAGATCTGGACTAATTGTATATTTTTGTTGTACTTTTGGTGTGTATAGGAATATGTACAGGAGGCTGAATACTGATAGATTTTATTGGTTCCTTTCACTGTTAGAAGGAATTTCACTTTGTTTTTTTGCATCTTCGTGCTGTTGATTATTGAAATTTCTCTTTACTGTTTGAAAAAAATACCTAACAGTGTGAAAGGCAAGTGATCAATATTTGGCAGTCTTCATCAAACAATGTTATGTGGCAGTAAATGATGAACCATTTTAGACCCAAATACCCACATGATGAATATCGCGAAAATGCAAATGTTAAGACGGATACGTGGTTGTGTAAGATAGGAAAACTTGAAAAGGTACAAGCAGCACACATGGTGGTTAAGGTTATAACTTTGCACTAATCAGTGGACCTCAATTCTTTGAAGTGCATTCTTTACAAATGTATGAACTATTCTATAAGTGGATTGAGAATTGAATGTACCTTCATCGTTATTTCTTGTAGCTCTAGCTTGAAAGTTTCTTCTGATGAATATTGAATTCTACAAGCATGAAGAAAGATGTTAGTAATAGTGTATTTATAGCATCATTCCATCGAGATATTTTTTTTTCTTCCTTGTGGAGTCTACTTCTGCCTTTTATTTTATGGTTCTTCATTATTTCTTGCTCTTTCAATTCAATATTGCTTGGACATTTTAGTTCTCTCTTGTAGTATTAACCTGTTTCTGCCTTGTAAATGATAGTATTTCTTTCTCCTTATCCTATTGTCTCATGGAACTTCCTTTTCTCCTGCAGGGTAGAGTATAAACAGTTAGACAAGCTGCGTAATGTTCTTTTGAATGTTCCATTTGTTGGCTTAACAGCAACTGCTACAGAAAAGTATATACTTTTTCAAGTTCTGTAATTTGTTTTTTTACTTTTGCTTTCCCAACTTCTGCAGTTTCTTCTTTTCTTTTAATTCTTCGGGGCCATATTCTGCTTCAGAAACCTGGTGGACAGGATCTAACTGGATATAGTTTCTTTCTCTACACTCTTATTCCATCTCATAATTTTGTTTCCTTGCTGCTTATTAGTATCTGGACCACTCAGTAAACTTTCTACCAAACACTGTTTAATATTTTAATTTCTACTTTTGGTTGGGATTCCAGTGTTAGATGTCATAAACAACTGCATTTTAGAGGGACATTTATTAGGGTGAGTTGGTCGTTTCCCAGTGATAAAAGGAAAATTGATATTCAGGCTCAACTGTTAGTTAGCTTTGTTCTGAGATATCAGCCTTAATTATATCCTTTACCACGGTACTCTTGTTTCTAACAGTCAATTGAATTATGTTAACTTTTGCTGTCTCTTGACTAATTGTTCTAATTTTACAAGCATGCTTGTGTGTTATGCAGCTTCTGTTGTAAGTTAAGCTGGATCAGGTTTATGCTATCTATGTTTTTTTGTTAAACTCTTTGCCTTCTAATCCTTGTCAAGAATTTATTCACGTCTCTCATAGCATGAGGTGCTTAAGTCTTGATATTACTGGGTAATAATAAAATTGAATGTGCACCATAGCTTTGTTAGACTTGTATATATAATCTGACAGTTTGATTGTCTTAGTTTTTCTTCTCTTTATTTAGATCTTAGAAGCTTTGGACGAATAATTTTATTCTTTTCTTACTTTTCAGAGTTCGGAGTGACATTATGAACTCCTTGCAGATGAAAGACCCTCATGTTGCTATTGGCTCATTTGATCGCAAAAATCTTTTCTATGGAGTCAAATCTTTTAGTCGTAGTTCTCAATTTGTTGATCAGCTGGTGGAGGAGATCTCTAAATATGTGGATAACGCAAATTCAACAATAATATATTGTACAACTGTCAAAGACACTGAAGAGGTCGCATCTCACCTCTGTCATGTCCACTAGAACGTTACCAGTAGATCTGATTTGATACACCTATTAATGAGTAGAAAGTATTGCAAATATTAGTCCCTTGTGCCTTTTATTTCAATGTCTCCCTTCTCCTAGGTTTTGTGGTTAGATGCATGAAGTTTGGCTTGCTTGGAACTTACAGTTTGTTTCAGTTGAGAAAATGCTGAACTTAATTTCTCCTCCTGTCTAGTAGTTTCCCTTTTTCCTTATTCTGTCTCTCCACATGCTAGTCTGCTAGGTTCTGATAGAGTTCATGATTTCAACAGACTCTTGGTCCTTGTAGCGTAATAGTATCAAGTCAAATGGATGCGTTGCCATTCTCATGATATCGTAACAGTGCATCATGCTTTACTAGTGATTCAATGTCACTGGACCTAGTGACTTGACTTGTGATACCATTATCATGGTTTTTGTAGATCTTCAAATCACTTCATGAGGCAGGAATCAAAGCTGGAATCTACCATGGGCAAATGGCTAATAAAGCACGTGAGGAGTCTCATAGGTTTCATCCTTCTTCATTTAACTCTTCTGCTTTTGAAGCTAGCTCGGGCAATTAATTGGCCTTTCTAAGTCTGTTACAGAAACCAATTTATCTACCTTTCTTTTGCTATGCTTATTAGTTGTTCTTGTGTCATTAGTGTTTGCTTATGGCCTCATGAATGAAGTATGGGATACATTTCTTATTGCAGGTCATTTATCAGAGATGAATTCTATGTCATGGTTGCAACTGTTGCTTTTGGCATGGGTATAGATAAACCAAACATAAGGTATGTGATACACTACGGCTGCCCAAAGAGTCTGGAGTCTTACTACCAGGAAAGTGGACGATGCGGCAGAGATGGTATTCCTTCAGTTTGCTGGCTTTACTACACAAGAAGTGACTTCACAAAAGCTGATTTCTACTCTGCAGAAGCTCGTTCAGTATGTTGCTCTTCATCCTGGTTCCATAATGGACCATATATTGCATTTCTCTCTTTAGGTCTGTTGAACATCCTGGTATTGTGACTTCTTGCCAGGCAGCTCAAAGAAAAGCTATTATGGAAGCATTTTCTGCTGCACAACATTATTGCATGCTGTCAACTTGTAGACGAAAATATTTGTTGGATTACTTTGCTGATGAGTATGACCATGATGATTGTGGTATGATCTCTATCAAAATCTCTCTTTTCCTGGGAATATCTTGGTATTTTTTTCAAGATGTTTATATCTGACTTGATTTTGTGCCATTATTGTTGGTTACCAACACAAAATCAAGAATAGTTATCTGGTACTGACATAGAAGGATGTCTTGTTTACGTAATTGGGATCTTACAAAAGAGTTTTAACGTTTGTGTCAACTTAGAGCACAAAGCAGCTAGGACATGGATTTTGTTTTTCTGAATTCACATTTTAGAGGTCAGAGCATTGTTGCATAAAATTAGTGTCTGATTCTACAACATTGACTAATCTCCGACACACTTTAGAGAAGAAAAAGAACTGAATGGGACAAAATATTTTTGTTTTAAAATGTTCTGATGGGTCTTATGGTATGGGCCTCTTCAAATAGACTGGTTGATAACATTTCTGGGTTTCTATACTTGGGATGAGGTACTAGCAATTACTTAAAGAGAGTGAAATGAATCTGTATGCTGTTTCCAGGAAACTGTGATATTTGCACTAGCTCAATGAAGGAAAAGGACTTGTCCCGAGAAGCATTTCTTCTTATGGCCTGTATTCAGTCATGTGGAGGCCGTTGGGGCTTGAATCTGCCCATAGGCATTCTTCGTGGATCTCGAGTAAGCTCTCGTTGAAATCTTACATGGAAGAATATGTTTTAATTATTGTTTAACACTAACTGAATTCTTGAATACTTTTTCTCCCCAATGGTGAGACCTGTGAAAATGCACGGGAGAATATTATTGATTGATATTCTATGTTACAATGAGCCCTATTTATATGTATACATAACACACAATCTACTCCTATTACATGAGGGACTAGGACTAATTACATATAGTCACATAACTTTTCTAACACTCCCCCTCAAGCTGGTGCTTATAAATCATATGTACCGAGCTTGTTACATATGTAGTTAATACGAGGACCAGTGAGGGACTTGGTGAAAATATCTGCAAGCTGATCATTCGACTTCACAAACTTTGTAGCAATTATCTCCCGAGAGTATCTTTTCCCTAACAAAGTGGCAATCAATCTCAATGTGTTTAGTTCTCATGGAACATTGGATTTGACGCAATATGAAGAGCAGCTTGATTATCACACACAAGTCCCATCTGACTAATCTCACCAAATTTCAACTCGTTGAGCAACTGTTTGATCCAAATAGCTCACATGTCGCCATAGCCATTGCTCGATAGTCTGCTTTTGCACTAGATTGAGCAACCATAGTCTGTTTCTTGCTCTTTCAAGACACCAAATTTCCTCATACTAAGACACAATATCCAGACATAGAACGTCTATCAGAAGGTGATCCTGCCCAATCAACATCTGAGTATCCAACGATCTGCTCATGGCCTCGATCCTCAAACAATAAACCTTTACCTAGAGTTGATTTTATATACCGAAGAATGCGGACAACTGTATCCTAATGACTATCACAGGGAGAATCCATAAACTGACTCACAACACTCACAAGAAAGGAAATGTCAGGTCTAGTCACTGTAAGGTAATTTAATTTACCAACCAACCGCCTATATCTTGCAGGATCGCTAAGAGGCCCCCCTGTCCTGGCAGAAGTTTAGAATTCGGATCCATCGGAGTGTCAACAGGTCTACAACCTGTCATTCCTGTCTCCTCAAGAATATCTAAGGCATATTTCCGTAGTGAGATCACAATACCTGAGCTAGACTGAGCGACCTCAATACCCAAAAAATACTTTAATATGCCCAGATCCTTAGTCTGAAAGTGCTGAAAGAGATGTTGCTTCAACTTACTAATACCATCCTGATCATTGCCGGTAATAACAATATCGTCAACATAAACGACTAGATAAATATAGAGATTTGAAGGAGAATGCCGATAAAACATAGAGTGATCAGCTATACTACGAGTCATGAAACTCCGGAATAACTACGCTGAACTTACCAAACTAGGCTCGAGGAGATTGCTTTAGTCCATAGAGGGACCGGTGCAACTGACATACAAGGCAACTAGACTCCTCCTGAGCAACAAAACCAGGTGGTTGCTCCATGTAAACCTCATCCTCAAGGTCATCGTGAAGAAAAGCATTCTTAATGTCCAACTGATAGAGGCCAATGGCGAACAACAACCATGGATAGAAAAAGGCGGACTGATGCTATTTTAGCCACGGGAGAGAAAGTATCATTGTAATCGAGTCCAAATATCTGAGTATACCTTTTGGCAACAAGACGAGCCTTAAGTCGATCAACCTGGCCATCTGGACCAACTTTGAATGCGTACACCCTCGATTTACTCGAAGGAAGAGGAACAAGCTCCCAAGTACCACTCGTATGTAAAACAGACATCTCGTCAATCATAGCCGGTTGCCACCCGGGATGAGACAATGCTTCACCTGTAGACTTAGGGATGCAGTTCTTACATCTTGCTATCTTATTAATCGTATGCCATCTTCAGCTATCCAGAATCAAGTTCCATTCCCTGTCCTGTTTCCCCACTTACCTTTGTTCTCTCTTCCACCCCGTGTCTTTGGGAGTACGTGTTTTGTTCATAACTTTACTCCAGGAAAAGATAAGTTAGCTCCTCGTGCTTTTAAGTGCTGGGTTACTCGAGATCGCAACAGGGATATCGATGCTATTCTCCTGACCTACAGCGGTATCTTATGTTTGCTGATGTTACCTTCTAGTGGCCTTGTATGTCGGTTGCGCCGGTCCCTCTATGTCTAAAGGTAAGGAAGGAAGTGGACTTGCTTGACCTATTGCAGTTGCCATGGTTTGAGACCCATTGGCCATTGTGACTGTTGGAAGAGATTGAGAATATGAAATACTAGTGAAAAGAGATTTGTTACCAAAAATATGATCACATGCACCTGAATCAATGACCCAAGACCCAGAGGTTGAAGATTGCGAGACACAAGTCATACTACTATCTGTTTGAACAACAAAGGCTATTCCTTAAGATGTCTGTTTACATGCTTTGTACTGAAGGAACTCAATATAATTCGGTAAAGAAACCATCTGCATTGGATTTAATGCATTGGATAGATTGTGAGTTAAAGGCTTCTGATACGAATGCCATTATAATATTGTGCCGGAAAAAGTAGAAATTTTCTGGGGATCACTGTTCACGCCGGAAAATCACTGTAGCTCGCCTAAAAATTCCAAAGTTGTCGGAATCTGTCGGAAATAGTACCAATGGACTCGGAATTTATGTGCGACTAGGCTGTCCTCAAAAAGCTTGGCCAATGCATCTGGATTGGATTCAATGCATTGGATCCAATGGATTGTGAGTCTAAGGCTTCTGATACGAATGCCATTATAATGCTGTGCTGGAAAATATTGTCACGACCCAAATCGAAGGGCCGCGACGGACACCCGGTGCCTTACTCAATCGAGTACCAACGTAGCATATATTTCTTATCATACTATCATGGNAGTGGAGTGCACCAACACCTTCCGCTGAGCTGATAGCCTACTTGGAGGACTGTCAACCTATCAACCGGGACCTGCGGGCATGAAACGCAGCGTCCCCAGACAAAAGGGACGTCAGTACGAATAAAGTACCGAGTATGTAAGGCAAGAAAACATAAACAAGAACAGTAATGTAAAGAGAGATAAAGGAGATACAACCTGTGACATCTGGGTGCCTCTGGGGGCTACTGACATGAAATGCATAATACATATATATACATAAACCTTTAAAAACATACGCCTCTGTGGGCATCATCATCATCATCATATCGTACCCGGCCTCAAAGAGGACTCGGTAAAAACGTACCCGACCATCATAAGGCTCGGTAGAATCGTACCCGGCCACGTGAAGCTCGGTAAACCCAACTGATCAGTGGTTGCACAATAGGTGCCGTACCCGGCGACAATAGCGCGACTCAGTAGAGTAAAATAGATACATATATATAATGCATGCTAGACTCATGGAATCACGTTCTAAACCTTTGGGAGTGACGTAAGGTCGTTGCACCTCTGATTAACATTATGGACATCATACCATCAATATGAACTTCTATAGGATTCAAGGATCATACATACTTGCTTAGAATAACTTTATATGGAAAGAAGATTCAATACTCTGGACAAGCTGGAAATTAATGGAGAGCAAATAATTGACTCAGAGATCATTAAAAAAGAGATCGTAGAGTTTTACAAGACATTATATGCTGAAATTGAGATATGGAGACCGGATTTCACATATATGGGCTGCCCAAAAATTTCAGAAGAAGAGGATGTGTGGCTCCAGAGGCCTTTTCAAGAACAAGAAGTCTTGGAAAGCATCAAATTATGTGCTACTGACAAAGCTCCAGGCCCAGATGGTTACTCTATGGGATTCTTTCACACATGCTGGGATGTGGTGAAAGATGACATTATGAAGACTATGGAGAATTTCCACACTCAAGAATTTTTTGAGAAAAGCTTCAATGCTACATGCTCTGATTCCAAATAAAAAGGGTGCCAAGGAGCTGAGAGACTTCAGGTCAATTAGCTTGATTGGGAGTGTGTACAAGATCATCTCTAAAATGTTAACTGAAAGACTAAAGAAAATGATGGATAAACTGGTGGATAAACATCAAATGGCATTCATAAAAGGACGACAGATTATGGACGCTGCATTGATAGCTAGTGAAATTGTGGACACAAGACTGAGAGCTCAGATGCCGGGAGTTCTTTGTAAGCTGGATATTGAAAAAACATTTGATCATGTCAATTGGAAATTCCTTATCAAAATTCTAAAAGAGATGGGCTTTGGCAGGAAGTGGCTAAGTTGGATTCATTTCTGCATTAGCACAGTTAAATTTTCAGTCCTCATCAATGGATCTCCAGAAGGCTTTTTCCCATCTCAGATCTCAGAGGGGGCTCAGGCAAGGAGATCCCCTATCCCCCTTCCTGTTTATTTTAGTAATGGAGGGCCTCAATAGCATGTTAAAGAATGCCAAGTCAAATGGATGGGTGAGGGGATTCAGAGTTTCAAATAACAATTGCAACATGGAAATTTCCCACATTTTATATGCAGATGATTCTTTGATATTATGTGATGCAAACATTGACCAACTAAGGCACATTAGATTAATTCTAACAGTCTTCGAGGCAATATCAGGCTTACATGTCAATTGGAGGAAGAGTATGTTATATCCAGTTAATGAAATGGATTAACTACAAAGGCTGACAGGCACACTGGGGTGTGAAATTGGAACCCTACCAACAACTTACCTGGGGCTAGCTTTAGGGGCAAAGAACAAATCTCAAGAAATATGGCAGGGGGTGATTGAAAGAAGTGAAAAGAGGCTAGCAAAATGGAAGAGTCAATACCTTTCTTTTGGGGGAAGAGTGGTCCTGGTAAACAGTGTGTTAGACTCCATCCCTACTTATGTAATGTCCTTGTTTCCTATTCCAGCTAAAGTGGAAAAGAGACTTGACACTCTAAGAAGAAAATTCATTTGGCAAGGTAACAAGGAGAACAAAACTTATCACCTGGTAAATTGGAAGACTCTCATCTCCAGCAAGAAAGTGGGTGGCATGGGTATCAAAGATTTGAGGAAGCATAACAAAAGTCTACTTTCAAAATGGCTTTGGGGATATAACTATGAGCAAGAAGCATTACGGAGGCAGGTGATCAACTACAAGTATGGCCAGTTATCCCATTGGTGCACCAAAAATATGAAAGCTACTTTTGGAGTTAGTAACTGGAGAGCTATCAGATCTCTTTGGCCCAATTTCACCACCCACTGTGGCTTCAATATTGGTGATGGCAGTAGAATTTCTTTCTGGCATGACAATTGGCTTGGCCACGGTCCTCTCAAAGATTTATTTCCTGACTTACACAACTTACTATCCAGTTTTGAAGCAACAATTGGGGAGATGTGGGGTCAGCAGGGGTGGAACTTCAATCCCAGAAGGTCTCTAAATGACTGGGAAATTGACAGAGTAGCTGAGCTATTGAGGCATCTGGAGTTATTTCAGGGCACAACAAATACAACAGACTCTTTAATATGGAAGGGAACTAGCAAGAAGACATTCACAATCAAATCAGCTTACACCTTACTATCGGGAAACAATCAGGGAGACAGCAATTGGCCTTGGAAACAAATTTGGAAAACCAAGGCTCCTTTCAAAGTGGTATGCTTTTCATGGTTAGTTGCTAAGCAGGCCTGTCTAACTCATGAGAACCTAATGAAAAGAGGATTTCAACTGAGCTCCAGATGCTATCTGTGCTCTACAGATTCAGAAAGCAATAGCCATTTGTTTCTGCACTGTAAAGTTACTTCTCAGTTGTGGCAACTTTTTCTCAGCATGATTGGACTTAGGTGGACTATGCCAAAAACCACAATAGATTTACTGAGATGCTGGAATAATCAGGAGGGCGTGTAAGGCAAAAAACCTGCTGGAATTTGATCCCAATGTGCATATGGTGGATAGTTTGGAAGGAAAGGAATGCCAGGTGTTTTGAAGACAGATTCAGTCCTATTCAGAAGTTAAAGATGAACTGTATCTTGTTGTTTCATTTTTGGTGTAAAGAAAATTATGTGAATGATGAAGAATCGATTTTAGACATCATAGAATCCTTGTAAGAAGAACAAGGATAGGTTTTTGCTTCTTTTGGAATCTGTAAATGGTTACCAGCACAACCTTTGTGCTGGGTTTCTTTTTTTTTATAATACATAACTGTTACCTTTGTCAAATTTTTTTTTTTTATAAGGAAAGAACAACATGGGCAACCTTAGTTGCTAGGAGTAGATCCGTTATGAAATAGCGTATTCATTTTACTTTAGATCATGCCAAAAGAATGAAGGAAGTGCCTTAACATACCTTTGAAATCTTCTATCCCATCTTCAAGCAAGCTCAATATGATCTTCTTACGTCTATAATGAGTAAACCGACTTCATCATCATCATATAAGCGTTGTAACTCTCATATTTGGAAACCAATATTCTACAAAAAAATGGACAGCACCTCCCCTATTTGTATACATCCCATATGTTACCAAAATTCACCAAACAGCCCAAACAACAACAATATAATTCACAATAAGCTCTCCGATTTGTTCAACAACCATTTTGAGCGGCAAGCTCGATTTACGATTAACAAAATATGGTTTGAATCCAATTCCTTTTCCATGAATCTGCCTACAACATATATAACATCATACTTATGCTTACCATATTATTTTCAACCCAAAACATCATAAACATAATCTTCAAATATAGTCCACACACCTAGCACCTTAACCTTTATCGTTGACATCTTATTTTTAATGTTATCTTCTTCAATCCACTGAATTAGCACATAGATAAGCTTAACAACAACCACAACATAATAAAACTATTTATAACCATTTCCAACCACAACAAACCATATATATAGCCTCAATACAGCCCACAAAAAGATAACGATTCCTTATGCCATGTCAATTACTATCCTGTAGATTTTCACTCAAACAACTCAACCAACACATGATTGACCTTAAGAACAACCAAGAACATGATTTACTTAGGCAGTAGATAAAACTTGAAATACCCATCTGGTGTACTCACTACAACCCTCAATCACACCACAACACTATAAGAGTTGTATTCTCTTCTTGAATCAACTTTTGTGTTCATGTTGGTGAGTAAACACTTGTATTTCGCCTTGAAACTCTAATATACATGAAAGAGGTACTGATTCTTAGCTTAATCATAGAGAACAACACGAAATCTGAGGTTACTTACCTTTGAAGAACCCTCCAAAACAACCACAAGATGAAGAACTACGATCTAGCAAGCACCACGGGATTTCTAAGGGCGTTGGATTCATGTTTTTATTGTAGGTTTTCACCTTAGAATCATGGAGGAACCCTTGGAGAGCATTTAGGAGGGTTTAGGAACTGTTATGGATGAGAAAAATGAGTTAAAATGACATATAAATGACTTAAATACAAGCTGAAGTTTAAACCGACTTTGTGGGTCCCATGGGAGCTGCTTGCGCAGTCTCGCGAAAATATGAATATCTCTCTAGTATGATGTCGTATCGACGAGCGATTTAATGCGTTAGAAACTAGACTCGTAGATATTCAATTTGATATGTAGATCATCCCTTGATTCCAAGTATATTGGGAGAAACATGCAGCTACATTTGACCTAAATTTCAGCACATTATGAATGCAACTTGTGATGACCTTTGCCAACTTTTGTTCCACAACTCGCTTGACTTAAAACAATAACACACGACTATCATACGAATAAAATAACTCATAACTTAACCTCCTCATCATGTTAATCACCCTAGTCTCACCCCAAAAGTATATGTTATAACCTTCCAAACTTGTCGACTTTCGACAAAACTTATTTTTTTCAATTCGTTTAGCGTCTAAGCTTTCCAACCCTTTTGGTACTTGTTATTCATGATCTTAAAGATTTGTAACCTCCAAGATAACATGATGAACTTACGTTATGTACTTTCAAAAATGATCTCATTTCCGAGCTTACATCAGTTGGCTTACGACGTACTCTCACGTACAAAAACATGGGATGTAACAAATATGATGGTTGGATTTTGATTTAAACTTGAATAAAAAAAGACTCGGAATAACCTCCTAAGTAATCTGTCCCAAAGAAGTTTCGTCGGAAAAATCACTGTAGCCGCCGGAAAGTCAATGTGGTCGCTGGAAAATCTCAAAGTGATCGGAACAAAAAGAATAAGGTATGGGTAGACTCGGAATAACTAGGCGATCTGACTGTCCAACTGAAACTTTTTTTAAATCTGGCCGGAACAGGCTTACGTGCCGGCGCGTGGGTCAGATCTCGCAGGAAAATTTCTTCCTTTTCTGGCACGTGAGGGCGCATGGACGTGTGTTTTCCGGTGGGGTTGACTGGGGTTTGGTCGCCGGAGCCTAAGGAGTCTTGTGGTGGTGTTGGTTTTTGCACAACACCAATAGAAAGTGATTTTCTTGCGGACAACCTTTTAAGTCGCCGGAAAATTGCATGGCGACAAGGTCTTTCTTCCCGGAAGTTGCTGGAATGATTCACAACGATAAGTTTCACACTAAAGCTCTGATACCATGTGAGAATGCACGGGAGAAAATATTATTGATTGATATTCTATGTTACAATGAGCCCTATTTATATGTATACATAATACATAACCTACTTCTATTACATAAGGGACTAAGACTAATTACATATAGTCACATAACAATTCTAACAAGACCTTTTTTTGAGTGAAGAAGAAATGGGTGAATCATGAATCTTCTATTTGGTTATGGTATCAACAAAGTTTGTAATCGTATCAGCATTTCTGAAGTTAAGATTAAAAAGCATTTGGAAGATACAAAATAATGATTCTTGTTTACATGGTTTCTTGGTGTTGTCCCATCTTGTTTTCTTGTTATTATTGTGGTACCCATGCTTTCCTAAGCCAAGGGTCTATTGGAAACAACCTCTCTACCTCCACAAGGTAGGGTTTAGGTCTGCGTACACACTACCCTCCCCAGACCCCACTATGTGGGGTTATACCGGGTATGTTGTTGTAGGAGAATTAATTGAGAGCCCACTAGTAGAGATTCTAGCTTGCATCCTTGAGGTGCAATGTTCGATACACACTCTGCTATCTCCCACCTGCCAAACAAATTAAACAAAAGTGATTCTCTAAGGCAACAAAATTAAAAGGGGTCCATCTATTTGAGACGGTTAAAATATAATGTAGGTCAGACAAAACGGGATGCAATATCATATTCTTTATGTGGAGATGTACTTCCAAGTTTTTGAAGCTTCTATTCAAATAATACAAACTCACAGAAAAAGTTATTTTCTTTTAGTTTAAATATTTCCAATTGATATCTGTTATGGGCTAAATTAACATGAGTTAGACCTTTTGTTTTAAGGTGTGTAAAAAAGCTTGGTACCCCTTTATTAAGGATCAGGTGCTGAACTTCAGATGTAAGGGTGTCAACATCGTTCATTTTGTCAATAGAAATCCTTATTGCTTATAGTTGAATGTTTAAAAAGTTGTCTGTAGAATTACTGATTCATCTTTAGTTGAGCGCCAAAGACACCAAGCTCCTTGTACTAACCCTTTCTGAATGACAGACCAAGAAAATTGTTGACGCTCAGTTTGATAAGCTTCCATTTCATGGTCTTGGGAAGGAGCTATCTGCAAATTGGTGGAAGGGACTGGCTTACCAATTGATTTCACGTGGTATGTATGAGCAATTGTTATCAGTCATGCTTTTAAATGCAGTTGATATACCTCAGAGTCTCTTTCCCCCGGATCTCTGAACTGTCATAAGAAAGAAGATAAAGCATCTTGAATCAACAAAATCTATAGCATTTACCTGATCCATGGGATAATAGTGTCAGAAAAAGAGAAATTGGCAAGCTCCTAGGTTTGGTCTAGTGGTAAGAGTGCAACTCGTGATGAGTGGGTTAGGCACATGTCACGAGTGCGAAACCTGCTGCAGACAAGAGTCTGATTTTTTCAGTGGAGAATTGTAACGGCGGACCCATTATCTGCCGAGTCCAAACCATGCGCCAATTGCTCCTCAGAGATTTCTTGGTTATCAAGGAAAAAAAGAAGAGAGATTTGCAAGAAAGCAAGAGACATGATTTACACCTGAATCTTTTTATGGGTGTTCTTTTTGATAACCTACAAATACCTTGAGGGCCGGTGGAGCACGGTTTCGAACTCAGTGGATAATATGCCCATCTACCCTTCTTTACTTAAATACCATGCTTTTGTCTGTGATAGACCGAATCCTTGACGTGCCCCTAACCCACACATCACAAGCTGCGTCTCTTACCACTAGACTTCAGTGTATCTATACTGGATGGAGGGTCATAGGTTTCAGCGTATATACTCTTTCGAACAGTTGCTCCTTTTCCTTGTGAGATAGTGCTAAGTATTAAGTGTAAGGCCTTTTTCTTTCATCAACTTTGAATTGCCAGGGATTTTAACAAAAATTGTACCTTGTCGCAGATTATTTGGTAGAAACCTTCAAAGATATGTACAAAACTGTGAGGTAGATACTTCCCTTATATGTCTGTTGACTTCTACTAGGACTTATTTAACATTTTCATATTATACTTCCGTCAACTGTGGATCCTCTCTTTAAATCTTTTTAGACATCTTGCTGTGTATCTACAAATGAATGACAGAATATTAAAAATTCATGCATCAGTGTCAGTGAAAAGGGTTTGCAGTTTCTAAGATCAAGTAACCCTGATCATCAACCTCCACTGTTTTTGCCGGAGACTCCTGAAATGGATCTTCATGAGAAAAATAGAGATACACCCAATGAAGTGAGTGAAATCAATGGTTTGGCTTCAAAGGAATTTGAAGGAGTTTCACAAGTATGTGCTCTTTCTTTTTTCCTTTTCCTTCGGTCACCAATTGTGTGATTCATATAATCCTAATTGTTGCATCATCACTATTCTTTTCTTCGTATTAGTGTCTTCCAAGTCCTGAAAGGAATTATGTACTGGTTTTTCTATCCAATACGGAATCAGGGGCAGAACCTCCTTGATGCAAGAGGGTTAGGGTTCACCCAAACATGCTTTGCCAAAATGTGTCTCTATATAGGTGTAAATTACATTCTATTATGTTTTGTAGCATAAATTGAACCTGTCAATAGTCAATACATTAAGGAGCGTCAGCTCCACTAATTAAGGTGATTCATTCTCTAGGAGAGATAGGAGTGAGTCACTCCATTCCCCATTTGTCCTTTCAGGCCATTTTAGAAATAGATGATGGATATAACTGACCTAGAGGCACCTGCATTTTGCAATAGGATTTGGAGACACAGTAAATGGGGAGGACTCCTCTTGACTTTACCTCATTTAATGTAAGTATGTTTGGATTAAACGCTTTTAACAATAGGGATGGTGAGCTTTTGTAATACTATAGTTACTAAAGGCGTGGCTGTTTTTACTCTATCTAAAGACATGGTAGTTTAATGAGTAATCCAACAGAAATATTATTCTTATTCTTTTGAGCATGTTTTTGTTTATGAATAAGTAATTAAACAAAGATCTTAATCTCGTTCTTTTAAGACTGTATTTTATGTATAATAAGTTTGGTGCTCACAAACAATAAAAGTTTATAAGTTCATTAAATTTGTTGGAGTTTAATAAACTATTAGAATTATAAGAGTATAATTAATTTTTAGATTTTGATAAATGATTAGATAAATTAAACAGTTTTTTTTGGTTTAAGTAGAATTCATTACGAATCAATGAAATGTTAAATCTGTTCAAAGTAAAATTGGTTTAAATTAAACAGATAAATTGTTAAAGTAGTAAAACTTTTGTTAAAGTTAACAGAACTGTTGAATTATTTTTGTATTAAATTAAGTTTGACCTCTCAAAGAGCACCCAACACCAATAAATCAGAGTGTATGCATTCATTGAAGAGACAATTGACAACTCGATTTTAAAATAAACAGTTTTTATTTTGTAATTCGTGTTTCTTTTTTAAATTTAGAAAAATGTTGACACAAAATGAGGTTGTTTTGTCCAATCATTTAAGAAAAAAGCGTGGCCTTAGGAGTTGCAGGCAGATCTGCCTTTCAAGTCCGACATCGCCTCCATTGCCGGTAACAATTGCAGTTCTGTTTAGCACTTGGCTGAGCCTGCTTACTTAAAATCCTACATTTGCCAACTTTATGCAGCAAAGAACTTAATTAACCCCTCCAGATCTTAGTTCTCTGTCTCAGAGTTCTTTTGCTTATGCAAAATGGCAGAACTCAAGTATCAAACATCCTCAGCTGGCCGTAGCTGCTGGGGTGTTCTAATATGCTTCATGTACATCTTAGCTACTTACCGAACTTCATAATGCTTGAAACTCCTTACAAATCAGAATTGAACTCGAACTTGAAACAATGTAATCCACATAAAAGTGCATATCCATAATTTCACAGGCTATCCAAAATTTTGGCTCAGACAATTCAACTTCCATAACTTGACATCCGTATGGTTAAATCGAGTGGTGCCCTCACTAATATATCTCTTTTCCTTGTGAATTGTTCAGGCTGAAACTCAATTGTACAAAATGCTTATAGAAGAGAGAATTAAGCTTGCCAGAGCTACTGGAACTGCTCCGTAAGTACATAATATTGTACACAGCTCATTCTTGTGGAATTTTGCCTTGACAAGTACCCACATGATATTTGAATTACAAAGGCTGCTACATGCATGTTATGAAAGTATTTGTCTTTGATAGATAAGAGTGAGATACAAATTTATTTGTCCAGTTGTCACTTCCAGGTATGCAGTCTGTGGAGACCAAACATTGAAAAGGATAAGCTTGACCAGGCCTTCTACAAAAGCAAGACTAGCTAATATAGATGGTGTAAACCAGGTATACTTAGTAGTTGAATACTGGTATCTAAATACTTGTAACTGTTGCATTACTGGTTGACGTATACCAGAAACTCCAAGGAATTATGCATTCAGTATAATGGGAAGTGTTCCAAAATGTGTGAGATAACCCTGGTAATTAAGGGCCTTGTTTAACTTTGCGATGTTCGTATTACGTCATTTGTCAAACTCTGTGTAAGCTCCTTTCTATATTTTCGTGCTCAGATGCCTACTTTTTGTGTTTGTTCTCTTTCCCTGTTGCACCATATCAGGAGGTTGATCCATGATTCACCTTTCTGCTTTATTTTTTGGTGCCATATTTATTGCTGGAACCACTCATCCTGCAAGGGATTATCTTATGTTAGACTCTACTTTGATTCCTGAATGTTATGACTGATTTTGCATCTGTTTCTTTTGGTGCACGCTATTGTTATCTGACTGTTTGGCATTGCTGGAGTTAATTTCTCAATTCTGTTGCAGCATTTCATAAAACTGTATGGGGATAATTTTCTTCAAAGCATTAAGCGTCTATCAGAAGCTTGCAATCTTTCTTTGGATGGGGATTCAAGCAGTCAAACCTCTGTTCCCAGTAAGATTGTCACGGTTCCAAGCAATAAAAAATTAACACCAGCAAAATTTGAAGCATGGAAGATGTGGCATGAGGATGGTCTTACGTTCAAAGAAATTGCTGTGAGTCATTATTAGGATTCATTGAATGCAACTCCGGCTTGTCTGTTACAATTCTTACATATTCTTTTCCATGTAGAATTTTCCTGGTAGAGCAGCAGCAATAAAGGAACAAACTGTGCTAGAGTATATACTCGAAGCTGCACGAGAGGGATGCAAAATGAATTGGACCAGGTTTTGTGAGGAGACTGGGTTGACAAGAGAGACATTCTTGAGTATCCAGAATGCTGTCTCAAAAGTTGGTAAAGAAAAATTGAAGCCCATCAAAACTGAGTTACCAGAAGAGGTGAGGTCTACGTTGAAATCACTCATATTATATATTGTTCGTAATTGTAGTGCATTCTTTATAGATATGTGGGGTTGCATGCCAACCATATTGTAGAAGCTAAATAATTGTTCTTGACAAGCAGGTAAGTTATGGTCAGATAAAGGCATACTTGACGATGCAAGAGGCAGGAGTATCAGCTGAAGTATTTTCATCCAATTATGAGCGAAGTTGCAATGGAGATGAATGCTTGAATGAAATACCAGATATACTACAGAGCGTTCCATCTGACGTGCAGGGAGATGATGGCGTAGTTGAAGCACCTGTTGTCACTGGTACAAAGGGTGCTTCTCCTGGGAAGACTGAAGGAGCAGAATCTCATCTCCTGACTGAGACGAACAGGAAAGAAGCTGCATCCAGTGAAGGTGATTTGCTCATTCCTACAAAACGCCAAAGGATCGAAGCAGCAGAAGTCAAAAGTTTTAGGACTCTGGATGCCACAGAAGAATCCATATTGAGCTGGCTCAAGAACTTTGATGATGGGGTAAGTACTGGTCCTTTGTAGTGACATTGAAATCTTAAGTTTCACATTCCTTGTTGATGGAAGGACAATGTTGGATAACAAGATAAATATGCAGGTCACCCTTTCTGATCTTTTGGAGCACTTCAACGGGGCCACTGAAAAATCTTTATTCGATCTGCTTAGTTACCTTGAAGGTGAGTTTTTGATTTATAGGAAGAACAACCTATACCAGCTTATGTAATCAATCTTGGGGGAAGAATTGCTGTAATTGGTGAACTTAGTTAATGGCTTCTTTTAAATCTATTTCTACTCTGTTATTTGCCCCCCATTTCTCCAAATAGTAAGGATCCTCAGAAGAGCTTGAATTTTGTTAAACTGGGAGCAAAGCGTCACTGGAATGGTTCGTTCCTAGATCACCAACAAAAATTGGCGAGAAGCTAGCAGCAACCAACTTCTGTGTAAAAGTTGTTGGATGATGGAATTCAATAGCATGATAGCACAGCCAGCCTCCCCAACCGATAATAACAAAACACATACAAGCATAAAGCAAAACATATGCGAAATTGACTAGTTATCTAATGCGAACGTGTGACTACTACATCAATATCTCCACCATTTTACTGGTGATTCGAACTTCATCTTTGCAGTAAATCTTTAACTCTTTGGTTCTATTGAGTTAATCTGGGAATTACAAATACTGAATCATCTTCCTATAAGGCTGCGGTATTGATTGGGGTTTGAAACTTCCACCTCAGTTGTGGAGCAGGGAGCAAACCAAATGAACTAGCCCTTAACCCCATGGTTCTTGTTTTTCGTTAATACAAGCTAAGGCTAAATGTTCGGCTACTTACAAAATAAAGAATAATTCATTTAGGCTTAATAGGAGTAATCGGGATAAAAATCATCAAAGGTATGTCAATTTAGGCCATGGTTCAATAAGGAATATCTACTTTCATTTTCCAACTCTAAAATCTACTACGAATTTCACCTCAAAGTATATTCAAGACTAGTTCTAGATGTTCAAATAAGCAGGAGAACCAATCAATATAAGCTTACTATAATGCACTTAGAGTCAACAAATACTGTGATTTTAATTTCAATCACCAATAAGCAAGTATGAGTTTAGAAAGGTACTTGTACAACTTATGAATGGTACTTAATCAAACATGTCTTTCCTAAGTCTATTTTTTTTTCCTTCATATTTGACCAACTTTTAGCTAGCGCATTTGCTAAAAGAAAACAACTAAAAGTTTTAAGAGGAGCTCGATTCAAAATATTATGATCATGGCAAGTAGTTGAATAGGAAATATAAGGAAGCAAATTAGAAGTTATGCTATGAATTAAAGCAACCAAAATTTTTTTAAATATTTTTTCCAAAAAAATAAAATAAATCTAAAACATTCAAAGACACAACAACAACACACATTTATAACAATATATTTTCTACTTCACACTGAAATTCTATCATGTGCCATGATGACACACAATTTACAACAAAAGGAGGTATTGGAGCTCTTCTGAGCTTGTGAACTTCACTCCTAATTTCGAGACATTCTTTTTCTTCGTTTATTGGGTTTATTTTTTTTTTTTGGAGCTCATTTGGCTAAGGACAACACAAAATATTTCTTTGTTTGCATATCGTGCTTGCCTTTTTCTTTTTTTGGCCTCATCTCAAGTGGTAAAATAACTGTACCGAATGATCCCTAGTTTCATTTTGCATTCTTCAATAGAATCCTTCTGTGCATTTTCTTGAAAATTCCTAATAATAAAATTCAAAAAATTATATTGATTAAAAGAATTGAAGAGTGATGGTCAAATGGATATTCATTAATTACATTTACGTTTATGATATCTTCATTCTCATTTACTTCTATATCAGCCAATTTTTGCAGATAAGAAAAGTGGGTTATAAACGCATCCCATGTGAACAAGCTCTAATGTTATCCATCTCGAATGGATATGTTCGTTTAGGGTTGCACCATGACACAAGAAGGGGGACATAAATCGTGTCTCACTAGATTTTCATAAATCATACCCAGAACAGACACAAATAGCTAGTAAAGTGCGGAATATAAGAACATTATAATTTTTACGTGGAAAACCTTCTTGGTCAAGAGAGTAAAAATCACGACCTACCATCGTAGGATTTTCCATCAAACTTCACTAACTGCAAAGAGCTATTTTAGATTATAACTCTATAACTAAGGAGACTAATTCTAGTACCCTACCCCGACAATCAACCTAATTGCATCGATCCAAACTAACTCTAGTCTAGAAAGAGAAACAAAATTTTTAATATTTTTGTGCTAAACTATGATTATGCTTCACAAAAGCAAATATTTTAAAATTTTACGAACAACATACTCAACCTAACAACTAAAGAACTGGCAGCTTCGTCCTCTGGAATATATTTTTTAGTTGAGCAGCTTGAATCCTTTGAGAGCACCTTCTTGCCCTAGTTGCTATTGCCAACAATGAATCCTTGATTTGTGTGAATATCATTAGTCGTAGGCGGAAACTATAGGCCTCTTTATGAAGGTATGAGGGCGGCCGAAATCCTTCTCCAATTAATGCTCCAAAACCTAGAATATTTCGATTAAGGAAATACTCTCCTACCTTAATTTGGTTTCCTTATTTATTTCCACCTCCTTAACCTTTTCTTTCCATGCAAGTTATTTCTTATTTATAAAAATCCTTTTAGTATATGGATTCCTCCAATCAAGATCTTTTCTTGTTATGCACGAAGTGATTTTTTTTCGGAATCCAACTTATACACATTCAATCTTCATGCGTCTGATTAGCATTTGACGTCATCCTGCTATGAACCTGATTCTCTTGTTATTTTCATATTACATATGCTCACCAATTTAATAGTATAGTATCCTGTCTATGAAACCTGGTTCTTTTTAATATAGTTGATCATATTTTATTAATCATCAAAACATATTCATATTCGGACATGCTCAGCTCAATAAAATTCTCCCTTTTGAAGAAGAGCTTAAGAACCAGTTTCTATATCAGTACTCTTCTTCTGATTTGTCCATATTTGCACAGGTGTAAGAGACTAGCCTTTCATTCATTGCAACCCTATAAATGGATAGGCATAAGATATTTAAAAATTCCTACAAACAAATAGACTTTGATCAACACAACACAACACATCATGCACATCCTTAACTTTTTCCTTTTGACATTATAAAAAAATAAAGCATTAGTAGGGTCAAAAGTAAATATTAGTAATATCAACTCATAGCCTCAAGGGCTACATTAACATGTGCACAATCTCAAAAGCTCGAATATTTAATCCAATGAAAAATTATCCAACTTGAAAGAGACAACTATAACGCAAAACATAAATTTATCTTCATGAAAAGTTGTACCACATTAAGCCCAAATGGCCCAAATCAAAATACGATTGAGCAAGCTCATCAAACCGCACAAAAAATAAATAAAAGTAACAATCCAGAACCTGATCATAGAAGAGATATAGTTAGGAACTAACAGGACTAGACTGCGACAACTAAGAGGATCAAGGACCAGAATCTTTGCTGGAAGAGGTTTTCCATGAGTAAGCCTTAGAAGCTTGTCAAAGCAAGGAACATCCTGCTCTTGCTTCATCTCTTCTTTAAGCCTCATGTTCTCTTCCTTCAAGAAGCAATTTCAGCATCTATCTTCTTTTTCTCTTCATTTGCAACTGCAAATTCTTCCAACAAATTTGTGACTCTAATTTTGCTCTTTGTGCCTGGTAATCTTGCAATGTCACATTCCCTCTAGGTTTTCTCATCAAACATGTCCTTATTTATCCATTTCTTTGATCCTCTCAGTGGCACCTTAAAGTGCTCAAATACACTAGTCAACATAAACCCATATAGTAGAGCATGTGAGCCTTTCTCTTAAGCAGCCGCCCGTGCATGTGCTTGATCATTAGCTAGAGCAAGTTGATCAGATTATTTTGATCTAGAGGCTCATGAATGCCAAATCCAAGTGGGTGGCCTCATGCTTCCTTTATAATCGAGGCATAAGACATTTGTTTATAAACTCAAATAGGAGCTTGTGAATCAATTTTATCTCCCCTTTTTCCAACCTTGCTTGAGCTCTGCTTCTCCCTTCCCTTGGTGTACTTAGAGGTTAAATACATATCATCCTTATTCTCTCCCAAATTAGGCCACTCACATCGCACATGGGTATCAAACCCATTAACTCGCACTCTCAAAATCTATCCTAGCAACTCAGCATCAAGAACTAGGTTCATTCCCCATGCCATAGTGCTTACTGTGCCATTCTCAAAAAGTATAAAGTTCTTGTAAGATGAAGCGTTGCTTCACTATACATCATAGGGAGTGGGCACATGAATGGATGTTTTTAGATTTTGTGCTTAAGCTTTTCTAGAAACTCCTTCATGCCAAATATCTCAGAGGTGGCTGGGTCCATCACTCTACCCTTCAACATCTTCAAACCACTAAATCAATATTCTTTGCCCACAACAACAATCTTTTTCTTAGTTTTCTTTTGCGTTTGGAACTGGATATCTTTCTGCAGACTCATCTGCTTTTTTTTTTTTGGGATTTCTCTGCTTCTTAGGTGTGGCTGAAGATGATCCGGCCTTCTCCTTTGCTTCCTTCTGAAGAGGAACCTCCTCCTCTTCCTCCTCTTCTTTCTTATCTTCCTCACTCACTAAGTCAACTTCCTCTGCATCAGACTCATCCCTTAATCAAAACTCTTGTTTTCTTTTTTCTTTTTCTTATTTTTTCCAAGTCTTTCTCAAGAGAAGCCTTGCTCTCCCCCTGGGTGTTTAGTGTTCTAGCCTTGAAAGTCACACACTTCCCTTTCTTGACTGCCTTCTTTGTAACATGTTTAACCCTCTTAGGTTTCTCACTTTCTTACCCATAATTTTCTGGTTCAACTAAGATATTTTCTCAGTCAAAACTACATCATCACTGTCACCCTCTCATGTATTCACTTTATGATCTCCTTCTCCTTCTCCAATTATCCGAAAATTATATCCCTAACGATGAGGATACTTCCTTTTTAGAGGCCAAATAACCAGGTTCTTGCAATCCTTCAGCCACCTTTCTAGAATTATCTCCCACAACACTTTCTTTTCCAACCTCTACGCCCTCACAAGCAACAGAAGAACTCGGTTGTTAGCCTAGAACTTCCGTTGTTTCTACATCACCACTAACATTCTCTCTTCCTAGTTCTTTATAAAGGCCACTCATGTTCTACAAATCAATACCAACAATATTAGTATTACCACTTTCCTTTTCACTTTTTTTTCCTTCACCTTCTCACCTTTACTTCTTTCCATTGAATTTCAAACTACCTTACCAC